GATAGTCTGTATTTTTATAATCTAAAATATTGACTTAAAACAGCTAGTTCTACAAAATACTGCATGATAGAGATGTACCCAATTCTTTTGAAACTAATTGCAAATTATTATTTTGCTCATTGTACTGGACTTTTTCTTCTCAGACGATGTTATACCTCACAGTAATTTTTATGTACTTTTGGTTAGAAATAGATCTTTATTCTCAATTAAAATTTCCTCTAGCTATTGAAAAGCTCTAGTGTATATTCCAAAACAATTAACAATGGTCTACCTATTACAGGAATGTGGGGCATATTCCTCATGGAATATTACTTTTAGTGTGTGGTGCTCTGAATAACCTTTTTCCCATTTCTTTCTTCTCCTAGGATCTCGATAAACAAGCTTCCTTTTGACTTACTAAACTCTAAAAAAATAAAACTAAGTATCACTATACCGTACTATAAGAGAAGTCAGGAAATAAAAAAGAACTGGTTAGTAGATGCTAATGAATCCTCGCATCATCCACAAGAGAGGGGGAATAATGGCCAGTTCATACTCATTCCTACATTATTAATGACTTAGAGTTAGATGTCAGTTAGTGTGTTTGTGGTGATCAGTTATTGAATTGAGTCTTCCTAAATAGGATTTCTAAAACTTCTGAAATTCATTCATTAAGCTGGCCTGCCTCTAAAGAATAATACTGCATTCTGAAAGAGTAAATAGTAAAAAAAGATAATATAGTCTATCCTAAGTATTTCCTTCAAAGATATAATTAGTCTGAGATTGGTACTTTAGTATCTTTAAAGTAAAAAATACTTATTTTCACAAAATTATTAATATTCTGATCAGTTAAACTTCACCTTTCAGCATATTTGATGCACAAGTTGTTTCAATGCCAGACGTGCTAAAGTTGTCTTTTACTGCAATAGGAATTCCATCTAAATCCCCAAGTGACTGACCTGTATTAAAAAGCCAAAATAGTTGATATTGGAGATAACAGTTCAAAATATAAGGACATATCAATACCTGTTATTATAATAACTACTAGTTTTTGGCAAAGATACTTCTTCAGAAATCAAATTTGTTAGAAATTAATACAGTTGGACATTATAAAGCATCACATATCCATTAGCCTCATTTTTATTATAACTTGTGGCAAGTTCTTTAAATAAGGGTATGTTTTAATGTTTAAAGCTTCTCTTGCCAAATGGAGACTACTAGATCCAATTAAACTCTTTCTCTGGAGATATAATGATTAAGTGTAATTAAAAGTAATTTACCATTCTTATATCTTTTTTCTGATTCTTCAGCTTGTTTTAAGGCCACCTCTTCTGTTACAGTAATGTAGGCATTTAGAAACTTGGTCTTCTTAATAAGAGAAAAACATTTTTGACAGAGCTCTATGGGTGTAATTTGGCCTTGTTTCAGTGCCGCAGAAACCTGTGGTATATAAAATTCAAAAACCTTTTACTGAGTCTGCAGAAGTTTCAAGTATTATACTGAAGGGGGGTGATAGAGTGTCTAAGTATAAAATTTTGAAGTGAGGCTTAGGTTCAAAATCAAGAAAACATATCATCTCTAACTTAGATAGTGTAGTGAACGAGGGATAACACACTGATAAGCTTGAGGACAGGTGGAGGACACGATATCCTTCTCCCCAGCTAGCTTTCTGCTTTCAGAAGTTGAATGTTCTGGGGGAGGTAAGGCCCAGCATGAGTGAGGGGTGGGCATGGGTAGATTATGTACAGAGGGTAGCTTAGCTACAAAACAAGCAGTCCAGAGAGAAAAAAGAGAAGTGACCTGGACAAGGCACTGCATGATTTTATGGCTCGAAATAAGATCTGTATACATATTGTGGGATTCAAGCAAGAGCTGCTTTGAATTGAGAAAAATGTGTATAAAATATAGGTTCAAGAGCAAACTAAAACAAACTTTTCTGAAATTCTGTCTCTGATGCATTAGGAAGGGTAGTAAAGAAAGCGTTAAAATAAACTATACCAAAAGTGACCAGAACATGCATATTGACAGGAAAGAGGGCCTGAGATGAAGTGATGACTGTGTAATATTCCCTGTAGGAAGTAATAATAATATGTACTTACTAATCAGATAAATGGAATGAATAACAAGAAGTCAAAGATGACACCAAAACTTTGAAGATTATACAAAAAGAGAGCTGGATAAGATGGGAGATGAGAGACAAGGAAGCTAGAGGGAGAAGTAGTTTCTACTGAGTATTTACCAAAAGCCAGGTACCATTGCTTTATATAATTTAACCCTTTTCCTTCATTTAACCCTTAAGACAACCAAACAACTCAAGTGTTATTAACTTCATTTGACAAATGGAGAAACTAAAGCTCAGAGAGGCTGAGTGATTTGTCCAAAGTCACACAAACAGTAAAAGATAGGGTGACTTCATAAGATATGTTCCTCACCATTTCTATCTCTACTCTACTGGAAGCTTAGCTTGTCCTTTAAGTTGAGTGTATTTTCACATGTCCTATCTTCAACAAGCAACGGGAGTTTGCATTTGAGGAGAAAGTCTGCAAATGATCCATTCTCAGCTATTGAATAAATCATCAAAGCAATGGCATTCTTAGGGCTGAGGGTTTCAAATGTGAAAAGCAGTGGGATTAGATCATTGAGAGGACCCCTAATGCTCGAGGAAAAGGACTTCCATAGGGAGGCTGCGGGAGTGCTGCAGGAATGGGAGGGCAGCGAGGCTTGACTTAAATTAAGGAGGTGACGTAGTAACAACAAGAAGAGATATTTCTGTTGATTAATTTGTATGAAATATAAACTCTTTATAAAAAGCTAGAAAGAAATACCAGCAGTGTGTTCTAACATTGTGTATATGGAGTGGGAATAAAGAGGACAGTGGTAGGCTGGGCAGAAGGGAGTCAGAACTAGCAAAAACCCAAAGCTAGAGAGACAGAGAGATATAAAGACAGACTTATTCCACAGCAAAATTATAATAATCGGGAAAATTGTGTCTGCCACTTTCTCCCCTTCCTCAACTCCCCTCAGGTCCCCTGATGCCTACTATCCTCAAGCTGCTTTCTGACTTGCCAACTGCTACAAGAGCTATGGAGTTACAGTTGTGGTTAGAAAAGCAAGAAATGAGATTGTAGGAGCACTCATTTTAAATGGTGCTGATCTTCATTAGGACCACCTTAAGGAACTCCAGATTAGAGAAAATAAGGGAATTGGAAAAGAGAAGTGAAAACAGAGATGCTAATTAGCTAATATGGACCAAGCATAAGGAGGAGGAAATATAAAACATATGTGTAGCTCTCAAGGGACAAAACTGCAGGTGTCACATCTGAATATATAATAAAACAAAGTCAACTTAAAAAAATTCTCTCTCCCTAGCAAGTCTTTTGTCTGATGGAAACTAGGGCTTCCCCAGCAGTCACTGCTTCTCCCTTTTGGCACCTACCTACGAGGTATCATAGAGTCCAGTGTGTGTGTGTGTTGGGGGAGGGGGTGTACGGGCAGGTGTCCTCCTTGTTCCTCCAGCTTGTCTCTTCCCTCTTCTCTCAAACATCACAGCTCCTTTGAAGCACAAGCTCTGGAGGAGATTATATCTCCCTGGTGTGCTGATCTACAGTCTCCCTGGTACTACTTTTTATTCCTTGATGATTTCAGCACCTAGCTCACTGTCATCTTTGTTACTACTGCCCCTGTTGTCACTCTTGCTCGCTCAAACTTCAAGTCCGTATACACTGACATTTGGCCTCTCAGTTCCTTGCCCTCACTTCACACAAACTTTTCCTTCACTTCACCCCAGCTGCTACATCATTACCAATATCCACATGATCTAAATATCATTTCAAGTCATCCCTCATTTCCTGCCCTTCAGCTCACTGACTTTGCTACCCACATGGCCAGCAAGAAATTGGAGCCCTCAGTTCCACGACTGCAGGAAATGGAATCTACCAACAACTAATGAGGTTGAAAGAGGCCTGGAGCTCCAGATGAAGCTGCAGCCACAGCTGACACCTTGCTTTCAGCCTTGTGCCACTCTGAGCAGAGAACCCAGCTACTCCACATCCAGGCTTCTGACCCACAAAACTGTCAGATAATAAGACTATGCTATTTTAAGCCACAAAGTTCACACTAATTTGTTATGCAGCAATAGAAAACTAATATACCTCCTCAGAAAAATTAAGAAAACTTCCTTAGGAACCACTCTTCTTACAAAGTAGGGGAAGGAAAATTATAAATACATGTAAGTTATTTATTAATTTAGTAATTTAGTCCCTGCAACAAAATTAATGTTAATAATAGCTAGCACTTAGTTCTAGGCATTGTCCTGGGAGCTTCATATTTCATTTAATCTTTACATCCACACTGAGGGGCTGATGTTACTATGTCCATTTTACAGATAAAAAACTGAAGTTCCTGCCTGAGGTCCCAGAGCTAAAAAGTAGCAGAGCTGGGATTCAACCAAGGACTGGTCTTGTTTCCAAAACTCACGCTCTGAAACACTATACTATAGGTTGAGTATCCTTATGCAAAATGCTTGGGACTGGAAGTGTTTCAGATTTCAGATTTTTTCAGATTTTGGAATATTGTATTTGCATTATACACTTTTCGACTGAGCATCCCTAATCATAAAATCCAAAATCTGAACTGTTCCAATGAGCATTTCCTTCAAGCATGACCTCTGAATGTCATGGCACTCAAAAAGTTTCAGATTTTGGAGCATTTTGGATTTTTGTATTAGGCATGCTCAACCTGTATAATTATTCTCTATGCAAGGTATTATGGCATTTACTCCTCTGTAACAAAGTGAAGAACATTTTTATTAACTTTACAGATAACACAGGAATTCACTTAAGAAAAGAACTTTCAAAAAACAACTGCCTTGATAAATGCTGAAGGTGTAGGAGTGCTCTGGACACTCTTGGCTGAGTGTCCAGCTGATGGGTACCCATTCTCTCTTTAACATACTTCATTCACACTTTTGTCTTCATTGTTCCACGAAATTGCATGTCAAGATCACCGTCAACCTCTATATTCCTAAACCCAGTGGTCAATGCTCTAGTGCTCATTTTATAGTACTCATCAGAAGCATTCAACACAAGTGCTCACTCCCTCCTTGAAATGCTTCTTTACTTGTGTTCAGAATAACACACTGTCCTGGTTTTCCTCCTGCCTCACTGGCCATTCTTTCGAGTTTCTCTTGCTGGCTTTACTTCATGTTGCTGGCCTCTAAATGTTGGAAAGTTTTAGGCCTCCTTCTATTTTTACACTTAACTTCCCAGGCAATCTCATCTGGCCATATAGCTTTAATTATCTTCTATACTCTGGCAAATTTATATTTTCATATCTAGCTTCTATCCTGAGCTCCAAACTCTTGTGTCCCCCTGTTTATTGACATCTTCACTTGCTTTTCTAGGAGGCATCTCAAAATTAACGTCTAAAACAGAACCTTGATAACCTCCTCTTTGTAAACTTGTTCCCTTTACAGTCTTTTCCATCTTGATAAATGTTATCATTTCCCCAATTGCCCAGCCCAAAAACCTAAGTTTTTTTCCTCTTTGAGTCTTCTCTTTTCCTCAACCCCCATATCCAACTCATCTGCAAGCCCTAACTTAAAAAACAATACCCACTCCCATTACCTCCACTGCCGCCACCCTATCCATGTTGCCATCATCTCTTGCCAATGCAACAGCCTTCTAATTGGTCTTCCTGCTTCCTTGCTTCCTTTCCTTTAGACCATAGTCCTTACAAGTAACCTGAAGGAGCTTTTAAAATTTTAAATCAGTTCACATCCACAGACTCAAAGGATACTTTTCATTACACTTAAAATAAAACTGCACTGAGCTGGGTGTGGTGGCATGTGCCTGTGGTCCCAGCTCCTCAGGCTGAGGAGGGAGGATCCCTGGAGCCCAGGAGTTTGAGGCTGCAGGAAGCTATGACTATGCCACTGCACTCTAGCCTGGGTGACAGAGCAAGGCCCCATCTCAAAAACAACACAACAAAAAAAATCCACACTCCCTATTATGGCTACAAAGGTTCGCCATGATCTGGCTCCTGTCTATCTCTCTAACCTCTCCCACTACTCTCTTCATTCACTTCTCTCCAGGGATGCTGGCCTTCTTGCTATTTTTTGAACACATAAAGCTTGCTCTTGCTTCAGGGTCTTTGTACTTACTATTCCCTTTGCCTGAAGCACTCTTCTTCCAGATCTTTCCAGGGCTTACCCTTCATGTCCTTCTGGTCTCTATTAAATATTACCCATTCAATCAGCCTAGTTCTCACAGTATAGGCTACTTAATTTTTCTTCCTAGTACTTATACTATCTGAAATTATATCATTTACTTTAGAAAAAAAACCTATTTAATGCCTGCTTTCCCACAAAAAACACGTAGGTTTCATAAGGGCAGGAGCTTCTGTCTCTCTTTAATGCTAACCCTCAGTGCCTGGAACACAGAGGTGCTCAATAAATATTAGTTGAATAGATGAATAACTGAGTTGTTTAAAATTTGGAATCTATTTTCCTCTATAACAATGATTAAATGTTCCTAGGTTAGACCCCCAGGAGCCAATTGAATATACCATTAATTAAACTTTACAATTGATAAGATTAGGCTGGTGTCTGGCTCCTAGAAACACAGGGATTATGCCACAAAAGACAAAAAGTGAGACTCCTTCCTCTTCCTGAATGTAGCTGGATAAAATTACAAATATTAGTTTTACCTATTTGACATTTTACCTCCTTTTGGCGGCTGTTCCCAGGGCTCCTGTTACCTTAAGCCTCCACAACATCCCCCAAATTGTTTCATAAGTCCATATTTCCAGCCCCTCTCCCTAATTTGAACCCCAGCAAATTTCCCCTTTCTTCAATTGATTATCTCAACTCAGGTGTTACAAAGAAATTTGATTGAACTATTGTAATTTACAACAATGAGTGAACAAATTATTCAACCCTCTTAGGCATCTGTACATGTTTAAAATAGAATGTGTACTGAATTAATCACTAATTGGCAGAATTTGGAGCATCAGTACAGTGATGTGCAAAAAATACAAAGTGGACAGAAGATACCTTTGGGGCTGGGAAAATAATCACTAAATAATGTTTCACACACAGTAGGCATTAATAAGTATTTGTTAAAGGAATGATTAAGTGAAGGCAATCATGCCCAGGCAACCTCTCAGTCTGCTCTTGGGTCCAGTCTCTTAAACGGTTCTTTTTTCCCCCCCACGAGGCAAAAGTTGTTTCTCACAACAACATTAGAAAAGGGTAGCACAAAAAAGTGGTTCTTAAAAGGATGTGAAAGTTGTCAAAATCAAAATAAAGTCATTTGTGTTAAAACTCTGACAAATGGAGCCATGGAAGGCCATGGAGAGAGGGTTCTCATGCACAAATGGCTGATGAGAAGAACTATCACAAAAGACTGCAAAAGCCACAATCTTACACAAAGGCCATTGCAACTTTACACACACACACACACAAATTTCTGCAAGGATGTCTGTCTAGCAACTGCATGTGCAACCTTGAACTGACACCATCCTTGTTATTATTGATCCTGTAGCCAAGGATAACTGAATCAAAACTTCCCCTTGCTCCCACCTCCTTGAATACACACATAGTTTACTATGGCATCCATATTCCCATTGCATTGTTACTCCCAAATAAATATCATTTTCTTTTGGACAGTCTCCCTCTCTGTTATTCAGATAGACAGGTGAAAAGGCAGACAAAGGAAATACTATTTTTGTAGGTTGTATTTCATTTTAAAACAAGTTTTGGGGAACTTTCTATTTTTTTTTAAGAACAAAATTGATTTGATTTTTCACTGACAATATATGCCATATGCAATTTAAGATGGCAAAATAATAATGTATTTTGGGGAAGAACTATTTATTATTTAATCGTCTATATTTAAAATTTTCATTATAACTTACAGCTTTCTTTTTTTTTTTTTTGAGACACAGTCTTGCTACAATACCCTGGCGTCAGCCTGGCTCACAGCAACTTCAAACTCCTGGGCTCAAGCAATCCTCCTGCCTCAGCCTCCCGAGTAGCTGGGACTAGCTGGGACTACAAGCGCATGCCACTACACTCGGCTAATTTTTTCTATTTTTAGTAGAGACAGGGTCTCCCTCTTGCTCAGGCTGGTCTCGAACTCCTAACCACAAGCGTTCCTCCCACCTCCATCTCAGCCTCCCAAGAGTGCTAGTATTACAAGTGTGAGCCACGGAGCCTGACCTTATAACTTACAGTTTTGTATAATTACGATTTCAGGCTGCTAGCTGGGCGGGGGGAAGGGGGAGACTTCCCAGATGGAGATAAAAAAGGAAGATGAAAGGCAGAATGGGTTCTCAACCATCACTTATCACCAGAAATCACCTAGAGCCCCCTTTAAACCGTGCTGGGGGCTATACCTCACAGATATGTCTGATTAAGCCTAGAGTGGGACACAGCTGTAGTTTCAGCAAAGGGCCCCAGGTGATTCTGATAGCAGTGGGCCTGCAGACTGTTTAAAGGTTGAGAGATCTGGGCCAGAAGGCAAGGAGACCTGAGTTAACTCCGTAATGGCAGAAGTAATATCAGAGAACAGAGTCCTGCCATATCTACAAGATAGAATTAACGGGGCTTAATGATTTGTCGAATATTTTCGTATTCGACAAGGAAGAATCTAAGGGCAAATAGGATAGTATTTCTGGCATTAAAAGGATACATTAAGAATTGAGAAGAATTCAGAGGTTTTTGTTTTAAAGATGGGGGTTAACAGGTAAGGGGTAGTCCCTGTTACAATGATGACTTCAACTTTGGTTGAAGTGAGTTTGAGGTGCTTAGGGGACATTTGGAAGAGCTGTCCACAAATATAGCCTAGAGTTCAAAACTAATGTTCAGGAAATGGAGACATGGGTTACGGAACCTGGTATCTTAGGGTAAGTGAAGCCTGGAGAATGAATCAAAAAAAAAAAAAAAGCCAAAAATTACTCGTTTGGAGTTTGCAAACTACAAATTTGTGGGAGCTGCATTGGCTGAGTATCTGGGACAGAAGAGAGATGGAAGTGGCCCAGCAAAGTCCCCCTTGTCTGGTTAAGCCCACTCTGAGAGACCCTCCGGAACCCGACTGTAGCTTGAGTAAACATCTAATCCCGAGAAGCGGATGGATGTGCACTTCCACCGTACAGCTGCGAAGTGCAGAGATCTCCCTTGCTGACCTATAACTTCTGAATAGGTATGGTGAGTACAGCCTAAGGACCGAAAGATCCGAATCTCCGACCCAGGTGAAGGGAAGGAGGCGGCGAGGCGGACCTAGGTGCGCAGTCAGAACGGGGTTCCTTGTCCACGGAGCCCGCGAAACTTTCCGCCCTCCCAGGCCCCTCAGCGGGCTCATTCCACTCACTTCTCTGAGGGTCCGGCCCAGCATTGTCCTCGTGCTCAGCCTGCCACCACCAGGGCCAGGTGACAAGGAGAAAAAACTGAGGTCAACAGGCGCTCGCGGTTTTACGTGGGCGCAGCCATCTTTGATCGTCACTGAACCCTTCAGCACCGAATACTTGGATTGGTTGAACTGCAGCCCGAGGAAATCATCTTTGCAGGCGATTGGTTGCCGCCGTAAAGCCTTCCTGGCCGGAACAAAAGCCGGCGAGCAAGGAGACTCCTGTGCAGGGTCTCGGCTGCAGTCGGGAAGCGTTCGATTCTCTGTGGCGTCGGATTGTGAGCCGTGTCTGCTTGTCCAGCCGAGGGCTCCCAGGACTCGGGTCTAGGGGTTGCTGCACACCTGCTTTTGTTTTTAAGGGGGAAGGGGGTGTAAAGGAGGGAGGAGAATGGACAGAATCCTGACTGGAACGTTAATTGGGGCATTTCAGATGGGAAGAGCAGAATAACGATTCCGTATTCTTCCTTGAGTTGCTCCGTTAGGTTAACTTCATTTTCGAATGCTCAATTTTGAATGCTTTCAATTTTGAAACTAGCCTGTGTGTTTGGCAGAATTTGACCGAATTCAGAGGTGACAGTTTGATCCAGTCCAAGTGCTTTTTAATTGAGGCACTCAATTCAACCACTGTTTACAATGGAATTTCTGAAGACGTGTGTACTTAGAAGAAATGCACGTACTGCGGTTTGCTTCTGGAGAAGCAAAGTTATACAAATGCCTTCAGTTAGAAAGATTAGTACTACCTCTCCAAGGAGTACTGTCATGCCTGCATGGGTGATAGATAAATATGGGAAGAATGAAGTGCTTCGATTCACTCAAAACAAGATGATACCTATCATACACTATCCAAATGAAGTCATTATCAAAGTCCATGCTGCGAGTGTAAATCCTATAGATGTTAATATGAGAAGTAAGTTTTCAAAAGGTATTCTTCATTACCCTTTTTTTTTTTTAAATCAGAATTTCATCAGATACTCAGTTTTAAAAGGTCAGTTATTTGACTACACTTCTTTGGTTAATACAAAGGAATCAGGTTTTTGATAACACTTCTGCAAATGTTAATTTCCAAAATTTTTGAAATTGCAGTGGCCAGAATATACTTTACTCTTTTACAAAATGTTTGTTTTCATGCTATCTTAACATGTAAATTGGGACTTGAGAATTGTGTCTACAGCTGACTTTCAGGTGTACTCTCCTCTGAACTTTGTGATACTCTGAAATCCATCACAGGTTTTGGAGATATGGTTGTGTTTCCTCATAAGTTCAGAATTTGCGTTTTTGTAATAATTCCTCTCCTATTTGCTCTCCCTTTACTCAGAGCTTTCTTTATTGGTCCAGTAGACAAAGCAACAGAACAGTACTACAGGATATGGACATACAGTACTTTCCTCATTTCTGCTATTGCATTCTGCCCTCAACATTTAAAATACACTTTCCTGTTACGCTCCATTCCAAAGGGGAATAATCTTAATTTCTGCTGGAGGATATTGACAAAGCTTGGAGAGCACTCTATTCCGTGTGTGTGTGTATATATAATACAACTATGATAGTGCTGAAAATACTAGTATTTATGAATTGCTTTAACTTTCGAAAATAATGTCAAAAATATTATCAGTTTTTCTTATGGGAACTTATGTATGTTCTTCTGAAGAAATCAAAAAATACATCTTTTAGGGTGATTAACTTCACTCAGTGTTAATCACAGCTCAGTTAACCTCAGTGATTTAAGCAAGCTGCCATGTGCACTTTAACCATGGGTTAGTGTTCTGCAGGGTTTGTGTGTGGATCCACAGTTACGTTCAATCAATTGCCTCAATAACAATTCTCAGCTATAGCCTATGTGTGATGAATTTAATTTCTGTGTTCATACGTGTATCTAATTGCAAGATTAAGATTAATAATAGAATGAACCGTTTTGTGGTATTTGTGGAGAAGTATGAAAATGTTGAGATTGCGACTTCATTTCTTTTTTTTTTTCTAGGAGTGATATGGTAGATGACGGTAGCAACTTCTCAAATTTTTTGGTTTCAACATCTCTTCACATTCTTAAAAAATTATTGGGCTTTTGTTTATGTAAGCTATAGTTATCAATATTTTTACTTTATTAGAATTTAGAACAAATTTTTAAATATTGATTTAAAAATATAGTAAACCCCTTTTGTGTTAACATTACAAAATTAGGATTAAAAATATAGAATGACATAAAAATAATGACTAAGAGACAACTACATACGTGAAGCACCAGAACAGGTAATAGTTAATGAGAGTATGGGATCTTCCTTCAAAGAGCTTACAATGAAAAGTTGATATTTTCCAAAATAAGCCAAAAAATTAGAAGACTATCATTGTTTTATACTTTTGCAAATGTCTTTATCTGGTTTAATAAGACAACTGGATTTTCATATGTGCTTCTGCATTCAATCTGTTGCAGTACATCATTTGAAATAATGAAGAAAAGCCAGCCCTTGTAGATTGTTGGAAAAGAAAGGACTTCTTAGAGTCTTTGAAAAGATCTTGGGGATGTACCAAACTTGGACTTCTGGATTAGGGAAATAAAGTCCAGATTCACTGTCTTTAGGTCCCTTGACTCTAATTTGGAATGCCGCTATTTTTAACTTAATGTATCTGGACCTGTACTGTTCAGTATAGTAGCCACTAGCCACATGTGGCCATTCAGCAGTCCAAATGTGGCTAGTCTGAACTGAGATGCGCAGTCAGTGTAAAGTACACATTAGATTTCAAACACTTAGAAAAAAAGAAGGTAAAATGTCTCATTAAGAATTTTATATTGATTGTGTGTTGACCTGGTAATATTTTGGAAAAATTAAGTAAAATATTACTAAAAATAATTTCACTTTTTACCTTTTTTGTGGATACTAGAAAATTTTAAATTACGTATGTGGCTGGCATTATATTTCTATTGGACAGCACCTATCTAGACTATGTGATAGAATAACTATTACATATTTTGGGGGGAAGAGGCATGAGGAAAGACTTTTGGACTCAAAATGGCTAGAAAGTTCTATTAAGAATGAATTGAAATGACTTTACTATGATTGCCTCATGAAATCCACATCTGTATTTTTGTTTTGAATTTGTTTGAATTTGTTTGAATAATTGCGACTAGTTGGGCATGTTGTTTTACTTTATTCTTTTTACATTGGTCTTAAAGATATTAATAATTTAATTTTTACACACTATGTAAGTGATAAGTTTTACCCAATGATCAGCATGTTTTTTCATTTCTTTTGATTGTAAGCTCTTTGAAGATAGATCCCATGCTTCATTAACCTGTTTCAGTGTTCCACGTATGTGGTTGTCATTCAGTTATTATTTTTATGTCATTTTATATTTTCATTCTGACTTAAGATTGCAAACTTAAATTAGCAGTATTTTATCCATGAGTAATTTTTACATTTTATCTTCATTTAGATCTGTTAATTTTTCATTTCTTTAAATGCACATGCATGATTTGTGTTGTGTACATTTTTATTTCATTAGAATGGCTGTATTTAGACTTTTCTTGGCTGCTATTTAATAATATTATATGGTAAAACATATTTTATGTAATATTCTTGAGACATCTTAGTTTTTTATGACTTGACTAGGTAACATTATTTGTAAGTTATCCTCCTTTTTTTTCTCCTCTGCTCATGGATTCTTTTTGAGAATGTATTATTGTTGTTCCAAAAGATATCTAAAATAGTAGCTTGGGGAAATAAAATAATGAGTACAAGATTGTGAACTGTAGGAAGCAGTTATTTCCCTTGACAAGAAAATAGAGACATGTCTATTTTGAAAGATGAAGGCCAGCTGTTTTTCTGAAGATGGCCACTACTGTTGGCCATAAAATAATAAATCATAGAAATGGCTAAAGAAATGGCTAATTTAAAATATACAGCCAACAGCATCATAACAACAAAGTTTGATTTCTTTAGATGGGATTAAAGTCTTTGAAATGGATGACAGATTTAGGATTTTCCAACTTGGCACAACTTTGAACAAGTCGAAGTGGCAGCCTCTATCAATGGGATGGAACTCTTCAGGGCTTCATGCATTTGTGTTGCCAAGGAGGTTCTCGATTACTATCTACCAGCTAGCTGCATTCTGGATTTGGGGCTAGTTTAGATAGCACAAGTGAGCTAGGGCTACTCAGTTAATGCATTAGCATATCAGGGTAACCAAGAAAACTTAGAAAACAACCTTGAGCTGCAGGTTCTGTACTCAAAGAGCACTGAAACCTTTTTGCAGCTCTGAAACAGCAGCTAAAATTTGACATGGCTAAAAGCCCACTTCTGTTCAAACCACATAGAGGTTTCAGTGAATAATTGTTTAATTATGTGTTAATGGTGGAAAAGAAATATAAGACAGGAAAAATGAAGCATGTGACTTTTGTGAGTATTACATGTGAAGTTGTTTTTTTTCCCTGACAGAATGTGATCCTAACTAGCCAGATGGTAAATGTGTAATGTTGGCATAATGGCCATCAGCTTAGATTTTCTGGGACTATCCCAACTTTCAAACACTTTCTCCCATGTGTCTTGGATTTTTATTAGAAAAACAACTTCTGCAAGCTACCCACCTGTCAGCATCTCTCTCTGTATCTTCTAACTTTGCTCCTACTGTATGGACTAACTGTCATTGCTCCTATCTAAGGCCAGCCTGCACTTGTGTTCCTGATCCCATATCTTCTCACTTACTCTGGGGTCTCATTCCAGCAAGTCCCTCCTGCATCATCAGTCTTTTCTACTGGTTGATTACAATTAGCATATAAACTTGCTGTTATTTCTCCCCTCTTAAAAAAAAAAAAGCCACTCAAAAATCCTCTGTTCATTTCAGTTGTTCCCTCCAGCTACTGCTCCGTTTCCCTGCTCCCCTTTATAACAAATCTATTTGAAAGAGTTTAATCTTCTCCTAGCCTCCAGTGCTTTGCTTCCTATTCCCATTCCCTAGCACATTGGTCCTATCAAGGTTACCAAAGATCTCTGTGTTGTTGGATCCAGTCTTATTTGTTTCTTTGTTTGTTTTAAAGCCTCTTAGTAGCTTTTGACCTTATTTGAAAACGTGTCTTCCCTGTCAGCAACATTTGACTTCTTTAAATGACCTTCCTCACTTAGCTTTCAGGATACCTCTCAGTTCACTGGGCAAGCCTGCCATCTCAGGCTCCTGTGCTGGTTTCTCCTCATCCTTGAGATCTAATGTTCTACCGCTCACAAGAGGGGGAGACAGAGTGGGTTAGTGATTCTGGAGCATGCATTGTGGGGCAAGCAGTGGTATATGACACTGGAAAAGCAGGCAGGGTGCCTATCTTGGAGAGCCTCACATAGCAGAAATGTTCTCTTCAGAAAAAAGTCAAGCAGAAGAGAGAATAACAGATACTTTTGTGTCTTAGAAAAGACATTTTATATGTTGAAGCTGTGTAATAAATTACTTTGGAGTATTGTGGATCAGCCACTTTATTCAAACCAAAAAAATTATGATTAGAAGAATGTTTTCAGCTTTATTTAGCTAATATTTATGTAAATATTCTTAAATATGATAAATAGTTAATGTGAGTTAACAGATGCAGCCAAGTGGCTCCTTCCCACTCAGGAATTTATGTACTTATTCCAAAGGTGATGTTCTAGAAACATTTTTTAGGAGATGGGGGACAATTACTCATGAACTAATATCAGTATTAAATACTTTATATCCATCCTTTATTTGTTTATTAACTTTAAACAGCTTTAACATTTATCTTCTTCATGAGACTCAGCACCAAACGTCTTTGTTGTTTAAAAAGTTCATGAATGAATAAGT